ATATATATATATATATATATATATATATTTTTGTCATGGTAGGGGGTGACTCTTGCAAAGGAAAAACACAAAATTCCCTTAATAGAATCCAGATTATGACATTAAGTGAGTCCAAGGCCAGACACAACAGGAATGTGGCAGCCATGTCCCTGGCAGCAGCCCCTGCTGTCCCCACTTAGATACTTCTGTACTCACTCCTCAGCCTCCTTGGGGCTCTGAACCTTCCCATCCCTCTTAGTTTTCAGAGAAAATGACTGCAGGACCTCAGAAAAAAATTAACAAGGGCTTCAAGCTCAGAGTGCCATCATAAAAATTCAAATACCAAAGACTATTTAATAAAATGAGGAAACAGCACACTATTATGAATTTTACTAGTAAGACTTCTGTCTGTGAGAAGAAACTGAAGTGAGTGTTCCAGGAGCAATCCTTCAGTAGAAAACTGTTAGATGTTTTTAAAAACTCTTTAGATTTTTAACAATGATCACATACCTTTATATAAAGAAATTTTTGATTGAATGTTGTAAACAGGAAGTTGAAATTAGGAAATAAATAACTAAATGAAACACACACACACACACACACACACACACACACACACACACATATATATATATATATGATATATATATATCAACTGAACACTTTTTTTCTACTAATAGAAAATACCAGCCATCAAGCTTTCAAACATATGTACACATTAGATTTCCACAGTAGTTCTCTCAGCAGCCGGAAAATTGTTAAGCCTGAATTACTCACTAGCAAAACTAAGAAAAATATAATACCACTCACTATGTATGGCTTACTTATTTTTTTAATGTTGTGAATCTTTAGTATGGATGCATGATCTGAAGAAATACATAAGATTCCTTCAACAACATCAGCTCTGACAATGTCATTTTTATAGAAGTATTATGTGTGACCATTCACTGATGGTCTTGAAAGAAATGCCCTTGTGCTATTGAGACATCGGAATACTCTCTCAAATAATCCAAAATATTTTCTCAAGATCCTGTCTTTATTTTGGTTGGTACAGGATACTGTCTAGCAAACAGCTGGTCTAGTTTATTTGTAAGACAAATCAACACATTTGGTGTGCCAATTATTTCTGAATTCGAAAACAAGGAGTTTTCAATGAAGCTATATCTCAGGCAACTTAATCTATGTAGGTGGATTCACTCCAAAAATAATAAAACAACAAGAATTGGGGTGGGGGATCTGCCATATAACCCTGTGAGCTTTAGAAGTAATCTTGTCACAGCCTGGAGACATCTGAGACAAAAGCCTTGACAAAGGAATTTCCTAGAGCATATTGGCCTATGGGCATGTCTATGGGAGACTGTCTTGATTATTAACTGATGCAAGATGTCACCATCCCTAGGCAAATGGTCCTGGAGTTGACAATCCAACCAACAAGCAACATTCTTCCATGGTTTCTTCTCCACTCTCTTGGCCAGAGGGAATGCTGAACAAATAGCCAGAAAGCCTGCCTTCTGGTTCCCTTCCCCTGACATTTTTGAAGTATGGAAAGTGGCCTGAAAGTGTAAGGTGAAGTAAAGCCTTTTCTCCCCAAGTGGCATTGGTCATGTATTGGTTACAGCAAAAAGAAAGGGAACTAGAACACCACATTATCTGGTAGAATTTTCCATTTCAAAGCACACATTCTTAAAATGGTGGTTACTCTTCAGAGCAATCCATAGCCTTTAAAAAGGATGCTTTCTTAGAATTTTGTCCAGATGGCAACTGCTTGCTGATGAACTAGCTGTGTGTGACTATAGAAAGTTTTGTGATGTTCTACTACAAAATATTCTGCAAATTTTCTGTTAACTAGAGAACTGAATGACAAATGCTTATAAATATTAACATTGGTTATGTTTTATTCATTAACTTCAACTAATACACATTGTTTACTTTGTTGCAAATACTGGCATTGTTCAATTTCAAGCTTAACTTAGTAATTTTCCTATTGTTGACATAAACTCTTCCTTGCCTACATCTCATAAATAGATAGAACTAATATTCTCCAGATCTCTTTATCTTGGTAAAATAAAAAAATATTCTGTGTACACAAGTGTTTTGCTGGTAAATATGTCTGGGCATCACTGCATGCCTGGTACCCAGAGAGGCCAGACAAGGGCATTGGATCCCATGTAACTGGAGTTACAGATGATTGTGAGCCACTATGTTCATGCTGAGAATAGAACCCAGGTTCTCTGGAACCGTGGCTAGTGCTCTCAACTACTAAGCCATTCCTCCAGCCCCAAATTTGGTCACTTTTAAGGAGACATCACCAAATTCTTTAAGCTCTTTTATTTATGTTGGCATGGATCTAGAATATTCACTGCAATTAATCTCCTTTCCAAAACTCATATTGAAATGAAATACCATTGCTACAGTATGGATCATTGCCATTGCTATTGGAGTAGGTTCCTGATGAAAGGATAAGTCTGCCAAATTTCCTCTCTGTCCTATGCCTGTTTGTATGTCCTTCAACCATGTTATGACACAGTATGGTGGCCCTTACCAGACACCAGTACCACAATCCTGATCTTTGTAGCCCCCATAACCATTTTTCAAATAAATTTATATTCTGTATCAATTATCTAGCTTTAGATATCTGTTATAGCAACACAAAATGTATTAAGACCATGTATGAAAGACTAAAAGACAGGTATGAAAATATTAAGTAAAAAAAGCAGTGTAATTTTTCTTGAACAAATTCCTCAAAGGCATTCATGGTTTTTGTTGTTACAATAACAAGCAAAATATGCATGGTTGCTTGGGTTATCATACACTTCCTAATAGCCATGATACCCCAATAGCAAAAACCTGTCATTGAGTAGCTAGTATTCTACTGTCAGTCTCCAATAAAAGAGTACAGAGACCCCTGAAAAGTGGTTGACACTTGGACATTATCACCAGAGATATAAAGTAACTCTGGAGTACTGCATGGTGGCAAGAAAATCGTCAGAAGGTATAAGGATATATTCACAGGGTATATGGACTAAGGCAGAAATAGCCTAGGGTGACTGAAGCTGGAACACTTCCAGAAACACAAAAAGGAATGCTAACAGTGGATTATAACCCATAAAATCAGATAAGTAGTCCCAAGTTCATAATATAGCAGAGACATAACTGTACAGAGAAGAAACAGCTCTTCCTACATAATAAACTAACTAACCTCCAAGTATTGAAGAATTTCAGGAAAGAGAAAGTGACCATTTGAATAAGATAAAAACAACTAAAGGAAGCAAGATTTAAAGAGCTATACCCCAAAACTTTACTATCATGAAACCATTTGAAATGCCAATATTGTTTCAAAATAAAAAGTATCAAATAGGAAATGTTACCAACTCAACAATGGGAATGTTAGCAGAAAATGGACTTTTAATTTTTTTCTTTTTAAGAATGATTTGTGCTGGGCTGTGGTGGCACATGCTTTTAATCCCAGCACTGGGATCTCTGTGAGGTCGAAGCCAGCCTGGTCTACAAAGCTACACAAAGAAACCCTATCTCAAAAAACAAAAACAACAACAAAGAATGATTTGCTTGTTTTACTTTACTTATGTATATGTACTTGCATGAGTTAGTGTGTCCCAGATGCATGCAGTGCAGTACCCAAAGAAGACAAGAGGCTGTTGGACCCTCTGAAACTGGATTTATGGATGGTGGATAGTTGTCAGCCACCACACAAGTGCTGGCAACTCTGGGACTCTGGAAGAGCAAGCAGTGCTCCAACCACTGAGTCACCTCTCCAGCC